TTGTTTAAAAAAAAAACATCTCATTGTACTTGTGTGAAAGAAGACGTGAAATATAAAAATATTTCATGGATATGATTATAACGTTAAATATATTTACTGTAATTCAATAACTGTAGATCCGATATTATATTTAAATAATTAGGTATCTATCGTCCGTTTATTCTGAAAAATCATCATGTAACCTTTTAGAAAATTAAATAAGTGAATAAATTTCTCCTGTTTTATATCCCAAAAGTATCCATTTACAATTAGTATGACACCTTTTGACCTGTCTATGACAGACAATGCAAATCTCGTAATTCTATTTTAGTTAACTTTATAATGGAAAATAACAGTTTAATGACTAATAGTCGTACAATCAATAATCAACCGATGATATAATAAATACGATTTTGGTCATTTTAATGGCATTTATTATTTGTTAGCAATGATTTTTAAGCTTTATCTCGGTTAAAAATACAATTAAAAAATTTTATAATATCCTAACATTGCCAGAAAATAATTTCTATTCAAAGTCTTGTTAGTGAAAATTGTGTATTGCGCATACGAGATATTAAAATAAAATTAAGCTGTTATATTTAATCTTACGCAGTTATGATAAGAAAAGTATATAATTATGATATGATAAGAATTTAAATTATATAAATATAGAATGATTATTAAAAATACATCAATAAAATTAGGTAAAGAGAAGAAGATATGTACGCAATTGAATAAATTATTATTATTATTTTTATAATAGACATTTCAAATAGCTTTTTAAAAAATGACAAAATTATTCTTATGAATGAAATGGCAATACAAGATTATAGAAAGCTTATACAAAGCAATACAAGATTATACAAGGCAATACAAAGCTAAGTAAATAAATTGAAATATATATGTTATAATTTAATGAATTCTTAAATCATGAAAAAATTAAAATGTAAAAATTGATTATAATCATCGTTAATGTATGGATGGTTAAAGTATTCCTGAAGATGGATAAATAAGCCCAATCGTTAATGATGTAAAAGAAAAACAATTTGAGCGTTAACAATGATTTGAAATTTATAATTAAATTGGAATTACTAAATCTTCTAACAAATACAATATAAGAAAGTTGAATAAAGTTTTCTAAAAAGAATAAGTTCATTCAATTACCATAGTTTTATTTTTTTTAAATATTAAAATAAAACGTTTTAGCCAACACTAGGGCCAAAACATTCACTATTCGTCTGGACATTATATATAAATATATATGCATAAATTTGTAAGTAGATGTTTGGCAATAGAAAATAAATACTGTAAAAACATAATCGTTTACTCAAATTATAAAATTCAATTATTTATTTTCATATACATTTTTTCAATAATAATATTTTATATACTTCTTAAATATTTTAAAATAGTCCTCGTTTTGGCTGACAGACTGTCCTTTAATTATTATTAATAAATAAAAACTTTAGAGTTCATACGATATTTTACTTATGAAAATTGTAGATATAATTTTGTAAAGAGAAGAAAATAAATTGGATTTGGTAATAAATTATGAAACATTACCAATCCCGTTTCGTAGTAATAACTTAATATTCAAGAATACACTCTCATACATTAACCGTGATCACATGATCAGTTGTTTCCATTGTAGCATATACATTTTATTTTCTAAGAATTTCAAACATTATTATAGAGGATGTTTCAGGGTTAAGTCGCTAAACTGCAAAAATGAACTAAGAACCTCTAAACAAGAAAAATATTTCCTCTGAATGTATGTCTGCAAAAGCTTTGTTTAGGAGATATTCACACCTAAAGATTTTCGTTGTTATGAATTATTATTATGAAATAAATAAAACATATTTATTTGTTCTAACTACTTAATTAATTCGATATAAACATTAACATTCATATTAAATTCTGTTCAAATTGATTTCCTTGAGCATTAAAACAGGCTCAACATCTTTCTTCAACAGCAGCAGTGGCAGAACGGCACTTGATATGTGTTATTGTTTCACATGATTCAATTATCCTTCTTGGTATAATCGCCTGGCATATTCGCGAATGTCAGCATTAGTACTACCATTGCAAAAACGGTATACAAATATCATATCGGCATATTCACCATTAGTATAAATGGAAGGCATAATGATGAGTACTCTGCGAAAGCCTCTTACAAACTGATAAATGTTATTGAGAGTTCCCAATGCTAATTCCAAATAGTATTAATCCTTATGTTGCCAATAGTTTTTATACAGTTAGGGATAAAAGGTCATATTAGTATTCTATCTAATCCATCTCCTAAACAAAGCGTTTGCGGACATACCTTCACTTTGAACAACATTTAATATGAATGTTAATGTTTACATTTAATTAATAAAGTAGTTAGAACAAATAAATAGGTTTTATTTATTTCATATAACGTAAATAATTCATAACAACGAAAATCTTTAGGTGTAAATATCTCTTAAACAAAGCTCGATTTGTGGACACACCTTCAGAGGAAATTTTTATCTTGTTTTGAGATCCTTAGTTCATTTTTGCAGTTTGGCCACTTAACACTGAAATACCCTGTATACATTCCTCACTTGTTGGCATTTTTTGTTTTATAGGACAATCATATATTCCTGTTTTTTTATTTATTTATTTATTTATTTTTTTATTTATTTCTTTTTTTTTTGGTAGTGAAGAAGATTGAGCAGTCACGCTCGCACTTGTAACGTTCATTCGCGTAAAGAGAGACTAATTAAAGTGGTTTTATATTTCGATTAAAATATCTCTGAACCCAAAACTAAAATTCGGACCTGCAGACTGTAAGCAAAGAGCATTTTCACTATTACATCTTCTTTGTAAGGAATTATAAATCAAAATTATATTTTGATGTGATGCCGAGCTAGAGAGACGGAAAGGAAAAAAAAAGTTCCAAAAAAAACAAAAACAAATAATAACGATTGTTTTGAATATTTGGACTAAAAAATTTCAAATTTTAAATACTATAGATAATTCAAAAAAACAATTTGCAGAAATATATATAGATATTTATTAATTAGCTATATAAATAAGAAATTATGTGTCTCTTTTCGATTTTATGTTGTATTCCATCGAGTTTCAATAAACTGACATCCGTTACAGAAGTTATATTAAAAAAAAAATGATGAATTTTTTTTTTAGATATTTAGCAATCAAATAGATCTCAATCAAATATACTCATCACATATTTTAGTTATCATAAAACTATTGTATCTTCTTTCGGATATGATACAAATCACGATCAATCAGAGTAAAGTTTACTAGAGTAAATTATACACTATTATAAATGTTATTACAATGTGAATATATAACAAAAAATAATTTATACAGAACTATAGTTGTATATATTGTGAATATTATTACTTGGTGAATGTAGCACAAAAAAAATTATATTTTTACATTATTAATCTTGCCTTGTTGATGATTTCACTTCTATCGTGTGTTATAAAGCACATACCGTTGTTTTGTTTTATAATACAATCATTTTTTTTTGGACACCCAATTATTAGTCTAAAAACAAAATGTTTCTCTATATGTTATATGCATAGATTTTTATAATATGAACTAGAAACTGACGATGGAGCACATTATTTTTAAGCCTTGCATCCACAAGATCATTGGGATGTGGTTCTGAATATGAGAATAAATATTCCGAAACGTAAACTTATAAACATGTAACTTTGATAATACAAGAAATATATTCAATTGTTGCTAATTGGAAGTAATTATTGCCAAATAACTAAGAATATTATACAACTTCTTAGAAAAAAGAAAGAAGATTATATTTTTATATTATTAATCTTGACTTGTTGATGATTTCGCTTCTATCGTGTGTTATAAAGCACATACCGTTGTTTTGTTTTATAATACAATCATTTTTTTTTTTGGATTTTTTTGGACACCCAATTATTAGTCTAAAAACAAAATGTTGCTCTAGATGTTATATGCATAGATTTTTATAACATGAACTAGAAACTGACGATGGAGCACATTATTTTTAAGCCTTGCATCCACAAGATCATTGGGATTGTGGTTCTGAAGATGGGAGTAAATATCCCGAAACGTAAACTTATAAATTGAGAGTTCCCAATCTGCCTCATTCCAAAACTCCTTTGTAACCCGTTCTGTCAACTTTTGGAATTCCCTCCCGATCGAATTTCGGCAGACCCCCTTTGTGTATTCACATTCAAAACCCCCTATTCCAATTCCTGTTCCATAAACAGTCAGATACCAGCTAACTATTAATACTATATATGTATTGTGTAGCAATCATATAATCATATGATAATATTCAGTAATAGATAGTACATGCATTTCCTACTATCGACGTAGGAATTTCAATACATACATTTTTTTTTTTATTCAATTATAATTAACTGTTTATTTTTATTTATATAAAGATTTTCTTTATGAAATGAACTTATTCTATCTCATTTTCGTTCTTCATTTCTCAAAGTGTATGTTTATGTTGTTTAACTCTTATATATAGTTTTGTTCATAGTTCAAGTGATTTGTTCATAGTTTTAATTGTTTTGTTCATAGTTTTAAATGCTCTGTACATAGTTTTATGTGTATTGTATATAGCTTGTGCACCTAAGGTTTTCTTTACTTTTTAGTTTATTTTATCAATTTTATTTATTGTTTCAAACTTTTAGGACAGTAATATTCTATTCTTTTGTACAATATTGTTATTCTAAAGGGACTTAGTCCCAGAATAAAGTTTTTTTCTATCTACCTATCTATCTATCTATAAACATGTAACTTTAATAATATAAGAAATATATTCAATTGTTGCTCATTGGAAGTAATTATTGCCAAATAACTAAGAATATTATACAACTTCCTAGAAAAAAGAAAGAAGATTATATTTTTATATAATTAATCTTGTCTTGTTGATGATTTCACTGTTCAGTTTTATAGGACAATCAGCTATTTTTAAAAAAAAATAAAATCATAGCCCAGAGATACTTTCCATCCAAAAGTGAAAAAGAATGTCACTCACCTGAGAATATAGATTGAGGTCTGACTTGCTGAGGCCGAACAGACTGACGAGATAGGTTGCCGACATCCCTAGAGCAAGGACGAGACAATAGCGAAGCCTCAAAGGAAGGGTGACGTAGACTAGATAATCCAGGACCAAAACCCAACCCAGATCGGTCCTCGGGGTCAGGTCCGGGCTGAAGAACATCCTGGCCAGGACCTGGAGGTTGGCGGCATGCCACGACAGGTGGGACAAGGCGGACCATGTGAACCTGGATCCTGGCAGGCGGGTGGCCAATAGGAGGCCGAGGTTGAGGCAGACGAAGAGGGCCGAGATGGCGCGGTTGAGGGTGTCCTGGTGGAGCGGGAGGACCAAGCAGAAGATGTCGTAGAGGAAGGACACTACGAGGAAGACGGGGAGGGCAGGCCTGCGCTGCCGCACGCTGTAGCTGGTGTAGAGCGCCTCCAACTGCATCCCCGCAACTGCCGCTCGATACCCGCGCCAGCCGGATCTTCGCTCTTCTCCGCCGCTCTTCGGCTATTTTCGGCTCCTGCACTCCGATCTTCTCTTTTTTTCGCCCTGCAATCGTTGCACTTTTATTTAAGTATATATGTTTGATTTCGATAATTTAGTGAGTGCTAATACTCACTCCTTTTTATCAATTTATTAACATCAATCTAAACCTTCGTTAATGCCTTAAGTCAGGAGTTCCCAACCTTTATTCAGTAGAATATTATATAATACAATATATATTTACTAGTAGACCCGTTCGAAAAAATTGCAAAGCAATTGTTATCAAATGCCAAATTTATAATAAAATAAAATAATGCAACGTATCAAAAGATAAAGAAATCAAATGTTACTTTATCGATAAATATAACCGACAAAGGAAACAAAAATTAATTTAAATCTTCATTTTTGAACCAATATGCTTACAAATTTCACTAAGCCCCTCACAGTGTACCTTTGCTAAAAATTGTCCGATTTCGATGATTTATTTTTCCTTTAGTAGGGAATTAAGTAATGTTTTATATAATTATGTGCATAACCAAGGGAAAAATGTGAGTAATTTTTTGGTTATTCGCCAATAAAGTTTGTTTTCTTTCATAAATTGTTTGCCTGAATTTTCGGGGTGATTGGACTATTTTGCCCGCCTGAAGGAGAAGGAAGCCTTCGAAATTGGTGGTTAAATCTTGAGATTTGGTGAAAAATTAACGATGATATAGCTTGCCGATCAAAAACACCATCGATAAATAATCCTCCTCTTCTCTCGATCATAGAGTCCTCAAGTAGACGAAATGAGACATGTATTCGATGAACTCTATGCCTTGCGTTATCTAGAAAAGAGTACGTTTCGGGGCTTAAAAACGCAGGACTTGCGTACTTCCTATACGCATCAAAATCTTCAAGATCCAATTTATCCCGTAACCATCTACAGACTTACCACCGTTCCAGTATTGAAGCCTAGCAAAATGTTTGTATCGACTTTATTTATTTTATAAATAAGGAGCTTATATTTGGTACAAAACCGATTTCGAGCCTTACTGTAATAATATATGAGAGGATGGAGATGGGGATTTGTTTTGGTGACTGGCCCTGTTAATGCCACATCGATTATTTATTTTATCTTTTAATTGTGGGTAAATGGTTGACTGTCGTGAATAATGAAGAGAAGAATAGTTGGGGTGATCAGTCAAATGAGAAGGCAAAAATAAATGATAATACTTATTATGACATTTGCCGACGTTTCTAACTGAAGTTCAGGCCTTCATCAGGGCTAAGAAAAGAACCAGATAACAAGGTATGAGAAACATGAGTAGTTTATATAGGTAAAAAAAATTAAATCAAAATGAAGTTGTTAGAATAATGACAATAGTAAGAACTAAGAGATAAATAATAATAACCATTACAAAGTGTGGAATGATGAAGTAAACATAAGAATACAAATAATCAAAAAAGGTGACATAAGTATTAAAATGGGAATCTTAGAATAAAATGTAAAACAGAAAAAAGGAATATGAAGTTATATAAGAAATGAAAATAAATAGTAAAATTAAGATATTGCAAATAGAATACTAAGATAGAAAATTGAGATATTGTAAAGTTTATCAAAATGTACAGACAACGTATAATATAATAAAGAGTTAAAACAGCGAAGAGGAATGAAAGGAAGGAGGAAAGAAACTGAGAAGGCTGAAATAAGAAAGATCTGAAATTCCCATTTTAATACTTATGTCACCTTTTTTGATTATGTTTACTTCTTCATTCCACACTTTGTAACGGTTATTATTATATATCTCTTAGTTCTTACTATTGTCATTATTCTAACAACTTCATTTTACTTTAATTTTTTTTACCTACACTGCTACCTAAACTTGTTCAATTTTTATTGTTTTGTTTTCGTTTAGTTTTGTATAATTCCTACATTAGGGTTAATATATATTTGTTAACTTTTCCATAATCAAACATCGAACTATTTTATTAGATATTTCATAATTATTATTAACATTGTATTCAGCTTATCGTCATTATTAGTAGGTGCAAATGTTTCAAAACAAATGTTTCAAAATAAATATTTCGAAATACAGTCCACTTCCTTTTAAATTACAATCGACTTAATTTGTATAATAGTTCGACTTCATTCGAAGTTGATTTAAACTAAGAGGGAGCTTAACAGGTCCCATATAATATCAGTAAATTAATTTATAATACTGAAATAAAAGTACAAATGGAGTGGTACACACATTGTGATTATTAGAATATAACATTGGTAAATTGATTTGTTGTACTTGAATCAAAATTTTCGTTATTTGTGTATATATATATATATATATATATATATATATATATATATATATATATATATATATATATATATATATATATATACATATTATCTACACAAAACAAAGTAATCAGCAAAGAATATTACCCATGAAATAATATAATATAATACAGCATAACGTAACATAAAACAATATAATATATTATAACTTTATAATCACATGCCATTATCATAACCACATACCAAAACACTGATGCAAGCTCAGTATAGATTGGGTAAGGAATGTTCCAATAATCAAGCGGAGAAATTAGCTGTTTTTAAAGCAACTGAATATCTCAGTTAACATTAGTGGTAAATTGGTTGAACTACACTATCATGACAAAAACATTAACATAAAATGGAGTAGGGGTAATTCATCATATGAATGATGAAGCCCTTGCTTGTGTTAGCTGTTTAGTTAGCTGCTCGTATTGACCTTCCACTAACATATAGTAAGGTTTAAATTTCATATTTAAATGCAGGCCTCATAAAAGGATACAATAGTCCAATGGAACCAAGCCATCATAGATTTATTTCTCTAATCACACACCACAACTATAAACGCTTACACACAGCACTGACTCAAATCCTTACTGAACACGGAAAAATTAAACAATATCTAACATGTTTCAACATACTACACGACAACAAGTGTCCACACGATGGACAGATACACAATTTTCAACAGTTAATATTCGACTGGAGAAAACTAGACAATATCGAGCAAGACTGGTACAAAGCGTTAAGTTAAAATAGGGAACTTGGTCAGAAACAGAACAGAGACTGACGACAAAACTAAAAAAAGATTTCTTTAAAAAAAAAAAAAAGATTTTGACCAATTGACAGATGATTGTAGGAAGGCAGTTTGAATTAAAAAACGTTTTGCTTTGACTGCTGTGCTTTTTCTTTTATTAGTTTTGTTTATTTTATTTTCACATTTTATTTTATTTATATTATAGTATACTGTCTTTTATTTTATATTGAAATTATTTTGATTCTGATATTTTTTTATAATTTGTTAGCAAATTTAATTAATTTTTTTAAATAATATTGTAAATATCTTTATATATTTTGTATTGTAAAATGTAACATGTAATATGTTACAATAGGCATGGAGCATGTAATGCTTATTAAATAAACTCTCTTTCTTTGGGGGTTTACCATAGTAGGAAAATAAAAAATACCATTATAATACCATATCATACAACGGAATATTAATTATTACACCAACCCTATTATATGACAATAAAGCATACTACTATTACAGTTTATCACAATTACAACGCAAATAGAAATATTTTACAAACAAATATTATATAAGGGAAAAAGTATTTATAAATTAAACTATAAGTATAAGTATTAAACATTAAGTATAATAATATAAACTACATATTTACTCTCTAGTTATTGTTTTTATAAATGATGTAAACTTGGCTGGGGTCATTTAATTTAATGCGGGTAATTGTTCTAGCCTATAATAATTATAAATGGGACAAGTTATGAAAAATTATATAAATCTTCTCATTCATTACACAATGAGGATAAAATTTCTGTTTTGAGTGTTGTGGTAAGCTTTTTATGACTTAGCTTGATAAATTTAGTTTGCAGTTAATATTAGTGCTGTAAGTTTTATAAATCTGAATGGGACTAGAGGCCTAAGGACGCCCTGAATTTCTAGATCTGGATCAAATATTAATATGCAGTTTGGACAGCAGTTAGAGGATTCCATGTTTTTGATATATCTATGCATTAACTTCCATTTTACTTTTTCCATTATAACCTTTATAACCAGTTCTCGAACAACCTTTTTTTCCGTAACGAATACATTTACTGGTTGTCTTGAGAGGATCCGTGTTTGCTCTTGTGCTTCCCTTCCTCTTCGATACCTGATAACCCTCTTTATGTAAATTATGTAAATATATTATTTACCATAGTACTACCAACGGGCAGTTTCTCAACATGCGTTTTATGTGATTGTATTATTACCGTGTGTACATTTACTTAATGTATTTTTTAAATTTATACAGTTGTAAATCTCATGAATAAAAAAAAAAAAAAAACTGTAGGTAAATCTCATCTGAACACACAACTTAGGTATATCACGTGGCCATATTCTTTTCAAAAGCCTTGAATGGTTATCAGGTTGGAGGAAGCAAGGTGTGAAACGAGAAGGTTCGGATGGTTTTGAAGTTTGTTATGAAAGATAGTTATCTGGGTTGGGCTAAATCGGAAATATATAGTAATTAAGGTCGTTATGGATGATTTTATTTGAGAAAAAATAAAAGTCATTTAGGATTTTACGAAGGGTTTGGATTGTAACGATTGAATATGAGAGGAATTCGATGGTTAAGTGGAGCCCCAAAGCCCAATTCCGTAAATCCAATGAGGCCTTATTATAGTCATATATATATATATATGAGTCTTTTGTAATTAAGTTAACGCTCGGAGCCTTTGTCTAGTAAGTGCTGAAGTAGTCGGAAACGTCGAGCAGTTTCTTGTCGTTTCAGTCTTGCATGAGGATTCCAAGTGAGTCATTTGTCCAGCTGGAGTCTCGGTATCGGATTTTTTTCAACAGGAATAAGTGAGGAATTGTCTGAGGATAATGTAGGACAGGAAGTCATAGGTTTACGTCGAAGAGTGAAGGTAATTTGATGGGATTTATTGGAATTTATTTTAATTCTCCAGTTTTGACGCCATTCTTCAATGTTTGTGATATGTGATTGGATAGTTTGTGATGTAATTGATGGATCGTTATTAACTGAATCTACAATTTAAAATGGTTAGTAACTGCAAGTCCTTCAGTTAAATGAAATGATCGGTAGCTAGTACATGACTACTTATCCAGTCCGAATAGTCCAAGATGAAATTCAGCTTTCAGATCACAACTTTTATATATATAAAAAAATAAAAGATATCTTCACCATTTTTCAGCATATATTAAAAATTAAAAAAAATACTGCCTCTGGGAAATGAAGGAGTCGTCGGACAGAGACATCGTCCTCGCATGGGCACCCTCACATTGTGGCATATCTGGGAACGAAGCTGCAGACAGAGCTGCGAACCTGGCAAGAAGAAAAACTAATGGAACCACAATGATCAATTTAACGACCACTGCTGACTGGAGATTGGAATGCAAAAAAATCCTAAATGAAAAATGGCAATTCAGGTGGAACCAATCTACGAATAAATTGCAAGAAATATAAAAAGATACCAAACCGTGGACGAACTCTTTCAGAAAGAACAGGAAAGAAAAAACAATTCTAACTCGGCTTAAAATTGGACACGCAGTCTTTACCCATGGCTACCTAATGAGAGGCCTGGAACCACCATTTTGTAAAACATGCAACACATCACTTACACTCAAACACATTGTAACAACTTGCAGACTATACTCTGACACCAGAACAAAACATAATATACCTTCCAACATATCTGAAGCACTTTCAGATGACGAAGAAAAGATACAAAAAGTGTTTGAATTTATGAAAGACATTAACTTTGTACACCTAATTTGATTACATCTAAAGCCGCTAATGACCCGATCGGGTAGATGCGGAATGTAAAAATAAATAATAAATAATAAAAAATTTAAAAAAAGAAATGTTTCAAACACTTCTTTTGCTTAGGACTACAAAAAACTTAAGAAACATTATTTACTATTTGTCAATACATTCAAAGTTATGAGGAATGACAGAATTAGAAATAAAAAAATTTCGCTTTTTTGACCCAAAAAAATCGATTTACAGCTCGTTCATAATTTTTTTGTTAGGTGAAATCCAAAACGGGTCTTCTTGCCGATTATATTTGTACTTGCAGAACTCAAGAATGATGGTTTTAGACGTAGATATGATAAAAAACATAACAGAAGAGCGGACATGGGATTTGAGGGGACTTTTTATGGTTTGTTCTGCATAAGATGGGGAACTAATCCCCACATTTACAGCCAATTATGAATTTTCTTGATATCAAATCCTAAATTTATGGTGCTATACTAAGAATGTTATTTGCGGTTCGAATCCAATTTTAATTCATTTTTCAATGACAATTTGAGTAGTATATTAGTTGACTAGTCATAAGTCAAAAAGAAAAATAATCAGACCAATAGCATCGCGTGATTCATAAGCGTTAGCTACAACGTCACACCTAGATAACGTCCTTTGAGATAATCTGTTAGTGAGATTCCCTACAGAGCGTGTTATATAAGAAGTCATTGTTTGCCGAGACGTGTACGGAATCGACATAACTACTCAATGGACTGATTAACATTACAATAACAATAATTTATCTCGTGTAAGATTTCCTTCTGAATACTCTGAAAATTAGCTATTTAAAGACAAAAAAAAATTATAAATTCTTGACAATTTGTAAATTTGTTTATATAAACATTTTATTATTTATTTATTTCAACACTCACATACTACTATGGCAGTACGGGTGTATGCAGTAGTGTTGCCTGAAATTGGTCTTGGTCTTGCCCTTTGCAAGACCAAGACCAAATCAGCCTACCTATTTCAAGACCTAGACCAATACTGTTAAAAAAATTGATTTTTTAAATAAAAATTAAGGCAAAATATTTACTAATATTTGACAACTTTAGTTACCATATGTAAAGAATTGATATAACCAATATACTTTTGTATTTTTCTCTCCTAATTTTTCATCCGGCTTAGTTAGATTTCTTCTATCTAAAAAAATTCAGTAATATCTCTGTAGTAATAAGCTTGCAAGACTCTTGCGCAAGACCAAGACCAAGACTAAGACTGAGACATTTGGGCAACACTAGTATGCAGTGGTGTGATATTAATTAATTAACCATTATAACACACTACTGCAATGATAACAGTATAGACAAAATTCACAGCTGTGCACACAGAAACAAAACACAGCACACAGAATTCAGAAGTCTTCTCGGCGCTTATCCTCTTTTTCTACTGCGAATCTCTTGGTTAAAGTGAGCTGAGCTCATCGCCGTCTTCCAGCCATTTAAGAAGTCTGAACTACGAATACATTCGTATCACTCACCGACCTAGGAAATCCTCCTCGGTGAAGACATACATTTCCGTGGTTCTCATTATACGTGGCTCCCAATAGGTCGAAAGTAGTGCAGGCCGTGATCATATGCTCCATAACACCACAATCGGGATAGTTATGATCTATATTCTGTCCGAGACAATGTAGCTTGAAACTTCCATTACTAACATTTTGATTATAATCAAGTATTTTCTTAAGATACTCCCTTTCGGAGCCGTAACCCACCATCTGCTACACTCTTCAATTGTTTCCTCCCGGATTATCTTTTTCTATTTTGTTTTCAATGATCTCCATCCGTAGGTTCTCCGAAAGACCTGTTGAGCCCTCCCTCTTATAATCACGTCTGGTCACTTCTCAAAGAAGGAGATCGACTCCCGCTAGGCCCTGCACTGACGTAGACCTATATGCTCTAGTGACTTCAAGCAGAGCTCTTCTCTGACAATTTCTATTTAATCGTCCTCAATTTCGTTAGTAAACCAATTAGATAGGAGAAAGGTATTTTTTTATAGTAAATTGTACATTTGAATACGTATAAATACTAAAATTTTGTCCGTAAATACAATCTCATAGGAGCAAATTAGAAAAAAAAAAAAAACGCTGCAAATTATTTCACAATGGTTTATTATTTCCAAACAATTATACATCTAAAGTAACATTACCTTCCGGGTTAAAAAGAAAAAAAAACAAAAGGTGATTCCAATTATTGGACTAAACTGTTTTTCTTAAATCATTAGTAATATGCTAAAAAAAAAAAAAAAAATAGCATTAGTTCAATAACACATTCAAAATTTAAAAACCAAACCAAGGATATAACATTTGGAGTAGAACATATTAAAAAAACCGGAGACCATATCTTTGCTCCTAATTGTCCGATTTTAACGATTTTTTTTTTGATTTTTTTTTATGAAATTTCCATCACAATGGTTGATTATTGAAAATAATAAACCAAAAATATGTAAAAACAGCGATATCTCTGTTAAAAGTGCTTTGATTTCGATGAAACTTCCTTCATTTTTTCTGAAATTTAAATACCTTTGAAATATTTCATCGCAATATCAACAAAAAAGTAAAAACTTTTCGAGTTATTCGGAATTCAATTTTACAATCCCTCGTAAATTTTTTTACAGCTTCTTTTCGTTGAAGTATGTTATATAGATAAATTTAAAGGGCGAAGTTTCATTGAAATCTGTACATTCGTTTAGGAGCTACTGTCTATAGCAACGCAGGTTTTTTGGCCGCCATTTTGAAAGTTAAAGGCGGAGAGTAATGTCGATGAAAGAGGATCATCCTCGGGTGATCTCTGATTTTATATCAAAATTTGAAAAAAAAATCGGTCCAGTAGTGTCGGAGAAAATACGCGGACGGCGGACGGACAAAAAAAGTTGTATTCGTTTTTCGAATTCTACGCGTCCTAAAACGTGAAACCTCAAATTTTGAGAGGGGATTAAGTTTTTGAATTTTTTGGTCGATCACAATGTTTCATTATTGAAAATAATAAACCAAAATGTAGCAACAAACCCCATCCCAAGGACGATTGTGTAAGTGATTGAGAACGGTAGTGAAAATTAAAACGAAAAAATCAAAATAGGTTAAAATTACTTATATTGTATTATATATATATATATATATATATATATAATATTATTATTATTATTATTATTATTATTATTATATATTATTATTATTATTATTATTATTATTATATTATATTGTAATATAGAACGATTTAATCGCTTATAACTAATAAGGTATAAATTTTTGTTACAATCAACTTTCGGTCTTACTCGAGCGTTTTCTGGGCATCTATTGGGTTGGAAAATAAATCCTTTCGGTTTTCCTGTTTATATTTATGTCACTATCGATGATCGATGAACTTCTTCATTCTGATGAGATTAATCCTAAGGTGGATTGTTTATTCTATTTGTAATATATCAACAACTATGCCTTTTAATTCTTGTTGAAGCTAGCTTAGTATTGTCTTTGTGCACTGTGAATATGGAATAAAATATCATTCATTATTGGTATATTTTGTTGTATTATTTTAAAAAAGGTAAGCGTGCTACGGAAGCTTATAGACAAATTTGCAGTGTTTATGGGGATTTTCATTCAGGAAATTTTGACATCAATGATGCTCAACGGTCTAGACGCCACATGAAATCGAAACGAGCAATGTTAAGGTCATTATTGATCGAAATCCCATCCAATCAGTACGAGAGATTGCCATGACCCTAAGTGTGTCGCACACAAGCGTAGAAAACTATTTGCACAAGCTTGACTGTTTCCAGGCTTAATGTTTGGGTCTCTCACATGATTTTTTTTTTTCGAAAATCACAAAAAATGTTATAACTTCAATACGACTTTAGCTATCTACAAGAAATTTAGCACAAATTTAGGGCCATATAAACTACACTAAATGACATCAACAGGACCTTCCTAAAAAAACTAAAAAATGGAGATATGAAATAATAACCTATAACATTTCCTTAAATCAAAACCATTCATACAACTTTGAAGGACAATAATTCCGCTTTCCAATGGACATAGTAACATCGAATTTTGAGAACATCCTAAAGAGTTCTGAATGATCGGAAGGGTATTGTGTTCCACCAAGATAATGTCCCTGGGCCCTACACCTCATTGGTCACTCGCAAGTCTTGGATGGGACCTTTTGCTCCACCTTCCCTATTCACCAGACCTAGCTCCAAGTGACTACCATTTCGCTCCAGAAGTCCATGAATGGAAAGAAATTTCAAAAGGAAGAGGACATCAAAAACCACATCGATCAGTTTTTTAACAATAAACTTCAGACATTCTATGAACATGTCATTGTGCAGTAAGTGGAAAAATGGTGAAAATTCCATATTAAATAATAGTCAATATATTGTAGATTAAAATAAATTGTATCTCTATAGTACATTGAGTTTTATTTCACACTGAAGAACCGAAAGACTTATTTACCAACCCAATAAAAATAAAATAAATTTACTTGTATAAATAACAGCTTATCTAGAAAATATATCACAATCCTACCCACCTGCACTTCACCAAAAAAACACTACGAAAATATAAAATTATCTACGTACTTTAATCACTGCTAATTAACAACTGATGTTTAAGATATACAGAGGAAAATCATTCATTACTCTATCTGTACATACACTGACAGGCATAAAATTCCATCCACTTGATGTTTCCATGTTATCATCTAAAAATATTTCTTGTATATAAAGTAGTATTTGTATATAATACATGGTATTTGTAGATAATACTTAGTATTTATGGAATTTTATAATCTTTTTTACCTTTAATAATCAAAATGTGATTAGGTAAGAAAGATTAGAGAAAAAAAATTGAAAAACTAACCATTATTATTCTAAAAGAAATTAATTACATCATCGTTTATCAGAGCGTGTTTCTTCCTCTTGCCTTCACTACTTCTCGAAGACGCCTTGGCAAGGTCCTGCAGTGTATCAGGAAGTGTTGCACGCGCTCTTATTCGTCTTTTGTGGTTATCCATAAATGCTCAATGGGGTTCTAATCTGGAGAACGTCCTGGTCAGGCTAAAACCTCAATATTGTTCTGTTGAAGGAACGTCTGCACTATGCGGGCGACATGTGGGCGTGCATTATCGTGCATTACAATAAAACGACCGCCGATTTCGTTGAGGGTAGGCAACACATGAGGATCCAAAATCTCATATACATAACGAATGGCCGTCAAATACCCTCCACGAACAACAATCAATTCTGTGCGGCGCTCCATTTAAATCCCAGCCCACACCATTAAGGAACCACGTTGGAAAGGTTGGCTCTGGGAAAAATTACAGGGTGCATATCTTTCGTTTCTACTTCTCCACACCCTTTCACGCCCGTCTGTAGATCGTAGAGCGAATCTTGACTCATCTGTAAAAAGTACAGCACTCCATTCGTCCATAGTCTAATGGCAGTGTTCTCGATCAAAAGCCAGCCGTCTTACTCTGTGAGTTCTGGTCAACTCTGGTCCTCTTACTGAACGAAAACCTATTAATCCATACTCATTTAATCTTCTGCGAGCGGTACGTTCAGAAATTTGCACACCTCGAACTTATTCGAGCTGATGAATCGCTTGAAAAACGATAAGGTGCCGGTTTCGTAAAATTCTCAAAGTCAAAAACCGGTTATCCCGTGGTTCTGTTACCATAGTCCGTCCAGAACCGGGCCTTCTATTGTAAGAACCATTCATTCATTCATGTGTGG